TATCTTAATCTAGTAGGGATAGTGTTCTCCGAAACTTTGATATGTATAATTGATTGTTCGTTGATTGCCATATAGTGTATTGAATTTTGTTACAAAATATATTTCATAATTTAATACATTTTTAAAACAATAAATTCTAATATAAATGCATTCACCATCAAAATATGAGGTTCTAATGATTATTTTCACTAGCCCCAACTAATGTAAGTAATTGACTGAATAAATAAAATATTCTTTTAATCTAAAAATCAGTACGCAAAGTTTACCAGGTACTTCTCCGAATCCTATTATTAATTATTCTTCACGAAAAATGCGCAAAAACGTTGTTGAAATATCGCAGTTACTTCACTGCTTATGCTTCTCTATCTATGGTTATATTCTTGATTTTTGCAAAGAAAAAAGTTGAAAAATAAAGATGAACATTGCCAAAGAATATTTGCAAGAATAATTAGTAATTACGAAATTAGTATTATATGCTACAATTATGAAAGAAACGTAACTGCCACTACTATTGAATGTAGATTGGCTACCTCAAATTGATATATTTATACAGTATTTTGATTGCCCCTTAATAAAAATACATAAATGAACTAGTGGTGCATGGCATCGTGTCTTAAGGAAAATTGCTAGAACTTCCCGCACCATAATGAAATATTTGAGAAAATTTAAATGTTTTCAAATAGATTGTTATAGATACTGCGACTTTAATCATTCGTATTTTAAGACGCACTTTTGATTCCAAAAAATATGACTTCATAATGTTGCACAGAAACAAAATTATACAACTATTTATAGATCTTTAATACATGTTTCCACGATCTTGATTTTTAAATAATGATTGCAATTAACCGTTCATGGCGCGGTGGGGAGATCGGTTCGAACGTGGGCTAGCACCAACCAGTCCCAGGTCCGCTGGTTCGATTCCCGCTACCGCCAAAGCCCGACATCAGGCAACTTTGATGTCAAATTTCTACTTGAGGTTATAGATCTCAAATATAACCTTAAGTGAAAATTGCTTCTCGTGGGTATAGTTGTATATTTATAATAAAAATGTCAGCAAATAATTCGAGTATAGTTAATTAGTCATAATTGGATTGGACAACTACTGGGTTGCCATCCATTCAAAAAATCCATATAATAAAGTTATAACAATTACTGAATATTCTAAGTGTGACAGATTGTAATTAAAATCCATATATTCTATATTTTTCACATATTTCGAGAATTTATTTAAAAAAATTATGGAGATTCTTCATGACGCAACAAATTCATCTTATCAATCAACCTCGTTATAGATTAAAAATCTTTTAGCCGATAAACAAAAAGATAGCCGAAGACGGCAAGGTAGTTAGGTACCTATACCTGATAATGGATTTTATAATTAGAGTAAAAAAACTAAAATATTGACTTATAGAACTGCTTCATTATTATCTAACAATAAATCTTAATTTCTCAGTCAATATCCCATCATGCCACCCACTCTTAATATCGCCATAAAAAATAATATTTAAAAATATTTTGAATAATAAAATTGTGACTTTTCAAGAAAAGGATTTTGAGATATATTTTCTATTAATCATAATATGTTTTCAGAATACCTTTGCGAAGCCCACTACCTCAGTGTCGACCCCTATATGAGGGCATACATGATTAGGTATCCCGTCGGAGTGACCATGATCGGAGCACAAGTTGCAAAGTAAGCATGAGTATTTACTAATTTTGTAAAACAAATAAATTGCATCTATTATGTAATTATTTATGTTAATTAATTAAATAATTGCTAGACGACCTTGATGAGGTACATGCAAATCAAATGCACACATGCGCATTTTATTATTCCCAATGAATATAAAAGTATGATTTCTTAAATTCCTTTGTCATCATGAATTCAAATAAATTTGTCTACTGATAATTTTTAATTAATCTTCTTGTATTAGTATTTTTAAAAACTTTGATAATTGAAAATAATATTGCAAATTACATGTGTTGATCACAGTACTTGAAAAAGAAACATTGTTTGTTTTCCACAGTCGATATGAAATCAAATAAAATAACGTGAAATCAGGTCCCAGAAATTATCAGCAAGTTATTGTTTTAATCAATAAGCACTGCGTGACAAAATTAGTACTTTTGATTTTTTTCCAGGAACTTTTTCTTTAAATCCACTTAGAATTTATACGCTGGTTTCAAATATACTTTTCGTTTTACCAGAACAGCTCCCGTTTTCGAGTTCTAGGGAATTACCCTCATTAATCATTTCGGGTATGACAATCGCTGTTTAAAAAAAAAGTAAGTTTTATCCCCTTTCTTTGATATGGATTCGACTCTAATTATAAGACGTTGTGTGCATAATTCGACAAACACCGAAAACATATATCTAACCGCGTAAAGACAGCGTATTTCAACCACTTTAAAACTGAATTGCGCAATAAAGATAAACATGGGTTCTTCATACTATGTGAAAAAAAATGTGCAGTGTGTTCACGTTAATATCCCAAAGGAAAAAATGCTATGAATATAATAACTCCGTCATTTGGAAAAAACCTCAATCACCACGACGGATGTTTCCTCTGTGCGGTAACTATCAATGTATTAAATTCAAACAATGGAAGCGAATGGTCCTATCCCAAGACTCCAATGGTCTTGGGATCTGATCTATTTACAATCAGCTACGCAACCCCTATTCATGCTAATGATGAACAACCTAGAACATCACCCATATTCTGTCTACCATGTTATGGATTGAGAGACAAACGTTAAAAAAAGAAGCCAGGAGGGGGAAAAGTTAAAAACTGGTAAGATATTTGATAATCCCCAAATCGGCAACTCATGAAAAATACAAGTGAATTCTATTAATGAATTTGAGAAGAAAACCAAGGATCCATTCGTTTTAACAAAGACAATCATATTATCCATAATCTAGAATGCAACATAAGCATCAATTTATTATCTGCACTCTCATTTAGAAAAGGTTTTGAAAATTTTGGAGATGTTAGCGAAGAGCAGAGCGAGAGTATTTAAGACATCAGGACTATGGCGGAGCGATATCAAGGGAGGACGTCCACGTGATGGCTGACAATTGTTGGAGAAGGATTACTACATAGAGTAATAACCAAATATTTGTACAAATTTAGGCGTTCGATGATATAGAAGAACGAATTCATATCGTTGTTGACCACATTTGTATTATTAACTTCCCGTAGGGCAAGTTATAGTAATCGCAAAAAATCGAAAATGAGAATGTTTATATATCTTTAAGTTTCAAAGGTTTCTGAACATTTTGGCATACCTGTGCCAGAGAAAATGAATATATATGTGTGTGTGTGCGCGTGTGTGCGGATACAAATTTTCGTTGAGGATTTTGGGAACACCGATTAACCGATTTGAATAATTAAAAAAACATTCGATTCGTATCGATAAGAAGACGTGCTGATTAGTTTTTGGCGAAGGCAGGTCTAGCCGTTCCGAAGATACGGGGCAAAAAGTGCCAAAAACAGTAACTTAGTTTTAAGAGAACGGAGCGTCTGATTTTAATAATTCAAAAAACATTTTACTTGCATTAACAAGATGAAGAACTGATTGAATTTTTGGGAAGGCAGGTCCAGCGGCTATGGAGTTTCAATAAAAAAATTAAAAAAATGCCATTTGGCGGTCAAAAATGATCATTGCACATCAAATTATAAGATATTTTATAGAGAATTTAATAATGTATACACATTTTGTGTCATTTTTTTTGGGTTCCGTACCAAGATTTTTAATTTTAAAATTCTCGTATATGATTCAAACAAATGTTCTCGACATCTTCAACATTATGGAATAACCCATTTGTATGATTAAAAAATCATTTGGTTCGTACTCGATCGCGAAGTGTTTTTGTAAAAGGCAATTTTGCCGTTTCGGAAGAATGGAGCGCAAATGAAGGGTGTAAAAACGGCCATGCAGTTTTTGAGAGAACGAGTCATTCGATTAGATTAATTCAAAAAACATTTTTTGCTTGAGTAGACAGTGTGCAAAAAATGCATTTACAGAAAATTTAGTAATTTTGAAAATTTTCAAAAATTTTCAAAAAAAATTCAATGTTTCAAAAAATTCAAATTTTCGAAATTTTTCATCACATTTCAAAAATATCAAAATTAAAAAAAAATCAATTTCTTTAAATCAATTTTCAAAAAATTTAGAAAAAACTTTTTAGATTCCAAAAAATTTACAAAAAAAATAAACAAATTTTCCGTAAACATACACATCAGTGGTTTGTAGAATACGCTCGTCGCTCAATATCATAAGCACTTATAAATTTACAGTATGTATTTATAATGAATAATTTATTTAAAAAATTGTTGATACACACAATTATTGATAATTTTCATTCTTCAATGTTTAATTACGGTACGGGAGGTTCCAGCAATTTGCCTTAAGGCACGATGCCATACACCCCACTAGTTATACTATCACTGAGTCTATAAGGTTTAGATTTATCAATAATTGTTTTTTTTGGGTACCTATTATTTTTAATGCTCTACCCGAAGGCAGGTTCTTTCGAAAAATCGAAGGATTAACTTGAATGCATGTTTATCATTTTATAGAATTCTGGTCAGTCGAAATCCTAAATTTCCGGTCGGTAGATTCGTTTGTGGAGATTTTGGGTGGACTACTCATACCATTATGGGCCAAAACAAAAAGGAAGGAATGATGACTGAACCATACCTCCTACCGGAATTAGGTGGAATTTCACCATCTTTATGTTTAGGAGCTTTAGGAATGCCGGGGTAAATTTTTTTAAATATAAATTATAAAATTAGAAAGTAATAATTATTTTTAATTTTGTATATTAGGTAACTTTTGTATTAAATAATTCCAATTTTATTATATTACAAAGCAAGAAAGATGTTGCTATTTTTTAAACCTGATAGAACTAAAAACAATACTAGATAATTAGATATATTTATAAAAATATGCGTAGAAAATTATCGTTTTTACGTGCATTTTTAGTAACACGGCATATTTCGGCTTTTTGGAAATCTGTCAGCCTAAAGAAGGAGAAACTGTCGTTGTCACTGGAGCTGCTGGAGCTGTTGGTAACCACGTTGGACAATTAGCAAAAATTAAAGGTACGGCAGAAGTATTACTTGAAGTTCATTCTTTTTAACTTCTCGTAGCGTAAGTTGTTGTAATCGTCCAAAAATTGAAATTTTTTGCATGCCTTTACGTTTCAAAGGTTCCTAAACATTATGGCATACCCCAGAAAAAATAGATGTGTATGTATATGTATGTATGTGTAGATACAATTTTTCGTCCACGATTTCAGGTGCAAGATCAACCGATTTGAATAATTCAAAAACCATTCGATTCCTATTGATAAGGAAACGTGCTGATTAGTTTTTGGCAATGACGGTTTCAACCGTTTCGGAGATACGGAGCAAAAAGTGCATAAAATACCAGGTATTCAGAGAACGGATCATTTAATTCAAAAAACGTTTTGCTTGTGTTGACAGTGTGAAAAATAAGTTTTTGGCGAAGCCAATTTTTTATTCTAAAATTTAACAAAATTCAAAATAAAAAAAACAATTTTGAATACCTAAAATTATTCGGATTTCAATTTTAATTCAGGCTGAAAACATTTCTCGAATTTTTCATTACAGTACGGAAAGTTCCAGCAATTTGTCTTAAGGCACGATGCCATGCACCACTAGTTACATTTTAACATTTACACTAGTTAAGAACTTTGCGTAATATGAGTTGCGCAGGTATAGCCATTATATACTACCGTATTTATTTATTAAAAGCAGCAATATAAAACCTGATATTTGTACTCCGCAAACCGACTATATCACGACGTGTTATGATGAATAACTGGAAACAGTAAATTGTTCTGGATTAACTTAGATGATATTTGTGAACAGCCTATTTAATGGTAAGATAGTATTGTACGAACGCAACTTGAATAACTTAATTATGGGCTTCTTGCTCAGAGACCGGAGTCTTACCATTTTAAATCTTTGTTCAGAACCAATTAGAAGAGTACAACTCTGTACAACTCTTCTGGAGATATGTTCCTCATTTGTGGTACAATGAGTGGCTGGTTTCAATTATTATCATGATATGAGATTATAACATTTATATAAGCATAAAGTGATTTTACTACGTACACTTGCATGTGGGAATTGCATTTTTTCTAGGTTGCAAAGTGATTGGATTTGCAGGAAGTGATGAAAAATGCAACTGGTTGAAGAATGATCTCGGTTTTGATCACGCGCTCAATTACAAGACCGTCGACGCAGCTAAAGCGCTAAAAGAAGCCGCTCCCAATGGCGTTGATTGCTACTTTGATAATGTAAGAATTAAAAAATCCATTTAATTATTGAAAAAATCTATAATATATGTTTCTTGAAGGTTGGTGGTGAATTGAGTTCAATCATTATGAACCAAATGAATTTGTATGGCAGAATTTCAGTATGCGGAGCTATTTCAGCTTATAATGCAGATGTAACCAAAGTACCAACAGGTAATGTTATAGAACTATATTATGCAATTTATTAATTTTATTACCAAAATCATTCAGAGAAAAGTAAATTTAAGAAACGAATTACTAAAAGAATTGTTACCAAAATTTTGTTTTGTTCTTTCATAAAGTAAAGTGCTTAAACTAGATGAAACAAAAACAGAAATTGTATTTGCATGTTAAAATCTATAAATAGTTTTGCAAACTAATAGATTTTAAAGATCTAAAGCATATGATATGCCAGTCCAGAAAGCAATTACAATCCTTCAACTAGGAAACAATCATTTTTATCATTGGTGTTTAATAAATCATGCTCATTTCAGCTCCAATCGTGCAACCTACTCTTATCTTCAAAGAATTAAAAATGGAAGGATTTCTTGTGACGAGATGGATATCACGATGGATGGAAGGAATTGGTAAAAATGCTGCTTTGATAGCAGAAGGAAAATTGAAAGTTCGCGAAACGGTTACGGATGGTTTTGAAAATACGCCCCAAGCATTTATCGATATGCTTCGCGGTTCCAACACTGGCAAAGCTGTCGTAAAGTGCATCTAATTGTAAGATTTTTTAAGCGTAGTTTTTATACTGTATTCATCATATAATAATAAATAATTTCATACGAAAAGTGTTTTTCTTTAAATTCAAAATGGTCCCTTAATTTTTGCAGCATGCGATTTGCTGCTTAATACCTCTCAACTATGACTTGACAGTAATATGTAACAGATTTCAGGATCAAATCAAACACGTGAAATAACAATTTATGTACATCTGAAATTCTCCATAAATTTGAATTTAACACTTCATATTGTATGCTACAAGATAACATGATCATTGAGTTGAGTTATCTATTGTGAGCATAGGCCAAGGTGTTATGATTATGTATGTCCCCCTAACATTGATTGAGAGCCCTTGGAACAAATAGTTCATTTTATCCTGGTCAGAATCTTTGAATCAGGGGAGGTATAAGTCTATAGATTCGTTATGATAATATGGACTTACCTTTTTATATAATTTATTATTTCAGGTTTATCTTATTAGTTACAACCGAAAGTGTGGCTTCCATAAGTGTTTGAAATTATTTAAACATTATTAAATATGTGGCGTTAGATGCTAAACGAAAGTCAGAAATAAAGTGTACAATTGCAAAATCGTTATCTTAATATGCATTCTTTGCTAGAAAAAAAAGCGTGTAAACGTAAACTGTGAATATTTCAAATTTTTCAAACAACATTCATACTTATGCGAGTGTCGGATAAGGAAAACGGGTCGCTCGACTTTTATATTCGATAAAAAAAAATAGTTATTTTATATTGAATAACGAATAAATTGACCAACTTATACTTATAATTATAATTTGACATGCGATAAGATTATACTTTATTTTCCACTATAATTTTTTTGACACGAAGTTGGCGACCATTGTAAGTCCGTTAAACAAATGACATAAGAAAGGAACTAACGCTAACTTCGGTTCCGTACTTGTTAATTTGCTTTGTTGATCACAATCACAATACTGTTTTGATTCTTCACGTTTGCTTTTGTACGTGCAGTGTACTTACTTAATTATGGTCGAAAACGAAACTCCCCAACTGACAGCAGGAGAGGCTGAGCTCTACGATCGGCAAATTAGGTTATGGGGCTTAGAATCTCAAAAACGGTCAGATTGCTGTTTATAGGTTAGCCGGTCATTGTTTACATGCAATTTACAACATTTTTTTATTTACAGGCTGAGGGCCGCCCGCATTTTGCTAGTAGGTTTAAATGGCTTAGGAGCAGAAGTAGCAAAAAATATTATCTTGGCTGGCATCAAATCTATTACCCTTATGGACGATAAAAACGTATCCTTGGAAGATTCAGCTTCTCAGTTTCTGTGTCCAACAGAGGATATAGGTCGAAATAGGGCTGAAACTAGTTTGCACCGTGCTCAAGCTCTCAATCCTATGGTAGAAATTAATGTGGATACATCAAAGATTGGAGAGAAACCTGAAGAATTTTTTGAATGCTTCGATGTAGTTTGTGTTGTTGAACAGCCTCTTGACGTTTTAATCAAAGTTAATAATATATGTAGAAAATATGATATAAAATTTCTATGTGGTGATGTATGGGGTATGTTTGGATATACATTCGGGGATTTAAAGAATCATGAATATGCTGAGTGAGTTTTATTTAAATGAAATACATTTTTTTTTTAAATTATATTAATTGGAAATATTTTATTTTAGAGACCTTATAACTTACAAAACCGAAACAAGTGCTGTTGGTAAACCTAAGAATATTACTGTTACTACTACGAAAAAAGGTTATTTGGCTTTTGTGCCCTTGAAAAGTGTTTTGACTAGAGATTACAAGTCAGCAAGCTTTTTAAAGACGATAAAACGGAATGGCCCATGCTATTTGGCTATGCAAGTCCTTCATAATTTTAGATCTCAATATCATAGGGATCCATCGCCATCAAATAAAGAAGAAGATTTAAAAAATCTGAATACTTTGAGAAAGGAATTATTGTCAGAAACTGGAGTTGATGAAAGTTTATTCGGAGAAGATTTTTTCAACCATGTGATATCATTAATCAGTCCTGCATGTGCAATTATAGGAGGTATCTTGGGTCATGAAATTATTAAGGCTGTATCTCAGCGAGAGAAGCCACATGACAATTTATTTTTCTTCAATCCCCTAAATTGTGCAGGATATGTCGATTGTGTACGTTAAAATAATACAATGTAATAATAATAACATCAATAATAATTATAATATTGATTTGTACTAATTCGTACACATTTTAATTTTTATTTTTATTCAGTTACTAAATTGTTTTTTCTTCAACTCAACAAACATAATTACTTAATTTTTGTTCTTAACATTAAATGAGGCTTTAGTGTAACATTTGTACTCTTATATGCACTAATAAATATCACAACATATATCAAAGTATGTTCTTTGTACTCAAAAATAAATAAATTTGATTCATATAAAAAAATATGTTTCTATTGAAAGTAAGAAATATAATTATGATGTAATAATAATAGCGATCACTATTGGAATTTTGAAAAGCATTTATGTGCAACCTAATGATTAAGATTACTCTGTACATGTGGAATTGAAATTACAACAATTCAAATCATAAAACATTAGGATCGAGTCTCTGATTATGAATAAAATAATAAAACATGATGAATGATTGCAGAACATATGCAAACAATCCTTGTGACAAATACAAATATTCTTTGTCATATAGAAACTATCTATGCTAAAATCTGGTCAGTATATACATATAATCATCTTTATTTGTGAGTGTTTAAAATGAAGGTGACTGTGTCGGTAGATTTATTGTACCGATGTAAATGTATATAGTAAAGATCTGTCATAGAAATGATGAACATTGTTAATATGCCGCAGTATTCGACCGTCGATTAAATGCTTTGCATAATTGATAGCTTCAACTCGGTCCCTGGCCAAACCAACATTAATTAGCCAGTCCACAAAATCTGAGCCTTTGAATACTTTTTTGTAGATCTTGATGCGCCACCTAAATAAATAAGATATGTAGTTTTAGAATACAATTTACAAATTAATAAAAATTGGGATATTTTTTTGATCATAATCATGCACAAAGTATATCTCAAATTATGAACAATAAGTAAATTAGATGAAATGGCACAAGTTTACAGATAAAGGGTTAATGAAATACTCAATGATAATTAATATTATACAGGACCAAAAACTTTGTTCAATATATGATCAAAGTATTATATCATTAATCCCAAAAGTATCAATGCTGTAGAATCACGCATGCAACCGAAAATGTTAAATTTTTGTTTATGAAATGAAATACCGTTTGCGAAGACGAAACGATCGCGCAGTCAGTTGGAGACGAGGAGTCAAACGGGGCGGTCGTGTGGTTAGCGTGTGACGAATTTAAACCATGTGTAACGTTTCTTTCATAACCTAAAGGTATCGTTTTTCATAATTTTAACCTTAATAAATTAATGAGTCATAACAACACGTGAGAAATTTTCAGACTATTATTTCAAAGCTGTTGTAAATATCATCTTGAACTCAATGTAAATGTCCAGTTTTATCACGTTATTTTATTCAAAAAGATTTGCATTTTTCTTGAATTGTAAGTGAAATATTAAATGAATTTGTGTGGTAGATTCGTATTCCGAAAACGTAGGAAAAAATGCGTTTGTGTAATTTCCGTTGAGACCTCTGTCTTTGATTTCTTACAATCATCCCACGAACTCCATTAAATGGCCGAAACAACTGATGGGCCCCAGTCTTGGTGACGCAAATTTTTTGAGTGCGATTTTGAGGTATGTGAATTTATAATTGAACTTTTTCACATTATATATATATATATATAAATTATTTAATATTAATTATTATTAATATAGCACACTGTACTCTGTTCTTGCACTACGTATGTTGTTACGCACTAGTATTTCATTAAACTCAAACTTAACAACAAAAAATACACATTAAAACTTCATATATTAGGTTGTCAAATATCTCCCTTCCGCTTTTTTGCTCTTGGTTTATAATACAAAAGGCGGAAGGGAGATATTTGACAACCTATTAAATTACTTATTGCATAATATGTTGAATCATGGATAGTAACACTTTAATATAACAACTTTCTGTCACAAAGCCAGTCGGTGTCAAACAATGTGACAGGAAGTTGTTAGATTTAGTTGTTTTACATTTTGCATTAGGTAATTTATATAATGTGTTAATATACATTTTTGCTGTTACATTTTGCACTAATGAGATATATCATCCTTTCGAGAAGTTTGCAATTTAATACTTTATGCAATAAAGTTAGTTAGTAATACTATGAAAGTAAATTGGAGTGTTGTGTGTTCACATTCACATAATTAATATTCGTTCCAAACATAATACAAAATTCTATTATATATACATATATATATATATATATATATATATATATATATATATATATAGTGTGAGATTTTCCCAGATGGAGATAGATATACGGTGAAACGTTTTTGGAAATCTATCCAATAATAAAAATAATTTAATGATGAAGAATGTCTTAATTAGAATAGCATACAATTTGAATCTTCGTTCCAAGTCAAATACAATACACAAATTAATAATAAGTAATACTTATTTTGAAAAGTATTCAAAATGGTTTGATAACAAAACTGCTCCATTAACAGTTTTTTTTGTTTATTTTAGATATTAAAAAATCTGTTTTATAACTATGTAAATATATTAATAAGTGCTTCTCATTTTTGTGCCTGTTTTAATTATTTGATAAAGATGACCAAGACTTTTAACATATTTTATTCTAATAAAGACATTGTTCTTCATTAAATTCTTTTTATTGTTGGATCGATGCCCGAACAAATCTTATAAACATATATATATATATATATATATATATATATCTATTTCGTTACAAAAAGCCAACTATAGCAAATTTGAACAAAGAAAATTAATTGCATTTTAGCTATTTATACTAATATTTAAGGATCCAAGAATAAGCTTCATATTCATCTATTTTAATGATATCTTCAATATTATTGAGTTAAACAAATCTTGTTCATATAAATAGCTGTAAGT